TACCAAATTCTTTGTCTTCTTCCCGGACCCGCTCTATGGTTTGAGGTGTAAATTCTTTGATAGAATCTGGTTTTAACTGGATGTGGCAAAACCCAATTATATTCTAGGAATTGGTGACAGTGTTTTGGTGCCCATGCTTTGGCTTTGGAAATCCCGAAATTTCGATCCAAAAAGGTGTAAATCTGTTTGAAAAGTAGCCTGAAATGCTTGTTCTCCCAACTGTTTCTTTCAATACCATCATTGAAGAACCAGAGGTATTCTGCCCTCTGTAATGGTGAAAACCGAAATTTGTTGGATGACTCTGTATAATGGTATTCCAGGCCTTCCACAACTCTTTTCCTCAACCCTTCCACACTCATCCCAACCTTTCCCAATAAACAATCCTCCATATCCTCACATTCAAAATCCTCCGATGTGTTTGACCAAACCTCTTGTCTGAAATTCATAATACAATTTGTAGACAACAGTAACAAAGCTTGATAAACGTAATATTTGTTTGTTGAATGTCTCTTGATTGTATCGAGTATGGCGGTAAATTGATTGTGAATATCAGTGATGGATTTTGTAACGGGGACTGTGGGCGTAGGAACTATGAAGCCAAGGAATACAACCGAGGTGAAGACGTAAACGTAGACGTGGGAGGTTCGTGGACTATGGACTATGGGGCCGAAGGGTACACCTAAGGCAAGAACGGGGACTGTGGACTATGGACTATGGATGGTTGTACCTGGTCTAGTATACCGGGTAAACCCTATGACGTAGTGCAAACCAAATAGTATTCGTAACTGTGAAGTACAGAGGTTGCATAAAGAGAAAAGGAAAAGAAAGAGAAACAAGAAATCATGAAACAACGCCCCCCTTATATATCCATACGCTATCACAATGCTGACTCATACTCTCGCATAACAGAAACAGAAAGAACATAATAGAAACCCGCTTCGCTAAACCCAACCACACTACATAACCCTTCCTCTTCGTACCCTAACACCTCGCATGACCAAACCACATGGCTGCCATTACAGATTTAACCTGCCCCCATCTCTTCTTGTATGATTGGTGAAGGCTGTTGTTCTTGAATAGTATTTTCTGAGAATACAAAACCGAAAAATTCCACTTCCCCCAGTCAATTTTCTGAGATGGGAGCCAAGGATATCCAAACTCTTGCATGGAATTTTTAAATCCCATTCCCTCCATGCCCTTATCACCATAAATGCCACCAATGCACTTGTCATGCCATAATCCAGCCTCTCTACTGATATCACGACCTCCATAACAAATTTCAATATTCTCAAAAACATCACCATGAAACGAGTGTGTTCCCATGAAACTGTTGTACTTGCAGGTGTGAGGCTCATTGTATACTCAAATCCAAATGCGAATTTGTTGATATTTGATTTCAGATACTCAAATATTTCAGGAGTGGGATGAGCCCAGAATGGCCTGTCGAAAGTGGGATTGGAATTGTGAATTATCTTTGGTGTTTGATCCGAAAGGTATTGACTGATCTTGAACAATAAGGACATAGTGACGCGATGTTCCTCTCTTATCCCATAGGACTTCATGCAATCCGATTTCAATGCTTCATGACATCTCATTTTGGAAGTGTAATATGCTTTCTGTACTGAATTGGTTTCCCACTTTGAACCACCACCAGCTGCAAACCAAGAGGATTTCAAATAAGGATCAACTGCCAACCCTTCCAATGCGTCATTTTGGAATGGATATGTCTTCGCTGCATTGAATATCTCATGTGTAATAGTGTAAAATTGAAAATACACTAATCCCGCTTTTCGAAATACACTTTTTTGAGTTGGTGTGAAGGACATGCTAGCTGTTTCATTGCTTAATGCCCACTGGTAAAACACAAACTGATTGGCTTTGATAAAATCCACTTTTGAAATCAAAGTGTTATAGTTTTGAAGGCAACATTTACGCCAGAGATAGGTGATTGGGGTTGCTGAAATTGCTGGTCCCTCAATGTGGTTGGGGAATATTGAGAAAGGAGGACACTTTTCCACATATTCCTTCCCGTAATCCAACCAAGTATACTTGGGATCCAAGTATTGGTTATCACAACTGTGACTCCAGAGATGCAAAAATGAATTGAAACAATCATTTGGATTCTCCTTCTTGGTTATCAATTTCAAATCCTTTCCATCAAGCAGAATAACCATATTTTCGAAATCATGTAATCCCGCATTATTACATCTTGATTTCATTTTGATCCAAATTTCATCCAAGTACTGTGGAGCAATGAGGTGGGTAATCAACTGTGTGGCGCCTGAGGTTTTCGTTTTTCTTGATCTGTTCTCTGTACCAGCCGCATATGCATTGAGTTTTGCCTTTTCTATTGAGGAGGGAAGATGTTGAAGTCTGTCTGGAGGACAACATTCATGGACTGCAGGGAGAAATACAGAATCATAAAATCTTTGCAATTCTTTTTCTGTCAGGAAATTGTTGTCCTTGTCTGGGTGGTATAGGTTGGGGAAGAAAATGAAAATATTCAATTCAGTAAATTGAAATATTCTGCCCAGAATGAGATGCGGGATTTTCTGAATTGGAAGTGTATTATTTCGTTTCGTTTTTGGGTTGGTAACAGAGAGTTGTATGTGAAGGTTTTGTTGAATGTTGAGATGTCTGGGAGGAAAGAAAAAGACCCTTAATCCTCTTTTTGCAACAGCCAAAGATTTAGGTAATGCCAATACACTGTCAATGTCAAACATAGTATGGATTTGCAATTCTCGATTTTGAATTGTTGGTGGTTCCAATGCAAATGAGATTTTGGGTGGAGGAGAGCCTGTTGTTTTTGAGATACCACAAAAAACTGTTCTGAATTCATTTGGTGTAAGATTGTTTTCCGTGCCTTTATAAAATGATGCCTTGTTCAAAACGTATGGTATTTCAACTCCAAGGGATTGGGGTGTAACTCCCAATGGTGGGAGAATTTCGGTTTTTGACTGCTTGGGACTTTTGATGTCTTGTTGCGAATGTATTTCTTGACCACAGCCTTGGAAACTGTGTAGTTGTTGTACCAAAAACTCCACCACCCTCTCCACTGTACTTTCTCTCTGTTTTTCCAATTCTGAAATTTCATTCACCGTTCCAACACCAAACTGTTCCTCATACTCCTCCTCCTCCTCCTCCTCCTCATCCTCAGTTTCACTGAAAATGTAGGAGGAATCTGATTGAATTGAAACCGGGATATGTATTGTAGGAGTTGATTCTGAAATATCGTTGAAATCTGAAATGAATAATCAGTCAATCATAGAATAGAATTATTTCGAATTTGATGTAATGTATGTAAGTACCTCCTTCCTTATCCTGCTCCTCATACTCCTCCTCATCCTCATCTGAAATAGTATTACAATCAGTCTGACTGAAAGTGTAGGAGGAATCTGATTGTCGTGAAACGGGGATATGTATTGTTGGTGTTGATTCTGAAATATCTTTGGGATCTGAAAGAATAATGAGTAAATCATACAACAGAATTATTTCGAATTTGATATATGTAACTACCTCCTTGAATATCTGCTACAAGGTTTGCAGAAAAAGGGATTGATATTCCATGAGATACTATTGCAGTATTGGTGGGCGAAATATCGTACTTGGGATTTGGGATTTCATATTTCAAATCTTCGGAATTCTGCAAGAATACTGGTATTGAACTTGTTGTTAATACTGGATTGGGTACTTTGTTGTTACCTGTTTATTATCAGTAAGCTGAATTTGAATTGTATTGGACCTAAAGTTACCAATCAAAGTTGAGGTGGAATTGTTTATTTTTCTCCTGGCTTTTTTTCCTGTTGGAACTTCTATTTTCAACTGGTGTTTTTTTGGGCTTTGTGGGAGAGAATCATCAGAGTCATCCAAACATAATGGCAACATCTGTTTGGTAATCCTGGCTTGTTTTTGCCGTTGTTGGAAAAGGTTAACTGATTTTTTGTTCGAAACCATTTTGTGAAATATGCAGAACTGAAATATTAGAAATTGTATTTGGTGGTTAGAATTTCTTTGAGAGGATTGAGAAGTATGTAAGGGTTTGGATGAGAATGTAGATTATATATATGTCATATTAACAGTACCATTATAGGACAACCATTACCATTATAGGGCAACCATTACCATTATAGGGCAACCATTACCATTATAGGGCAACAATTACCAATCGCATGCATGAACTTCAAAATTAACAAAATAATCGAATACATCGTAATATTAAAATACTTTAAACAAAACACTATTTATGTATAATTGATACAGAAGTATTCATAAACAATTGGAACCATCAATTTTCATGCATTTTGTTTTTGCGAATTTCTAAATATAAATAAAATCCAAACAGGTAACTTGAAGTAAAAAAGGTTACCTAATTTGGACGGGAGTGTATTACTGACATGTTTTCAAAATACGCATTTAAAATAATATGCATTATCTCAAATACAGTATTGCAATACTTATACCAAATTCTTACTAATATAAAAAATATATTGAGTATTTGATCACATCTCTTCTACAGGGTAAAAAGCACACTTTCAACTTACGGTTATCATTGCTCTGGAATATTACAATTTCGCTAGGGTAAAATCATCACCCAACTCCGAATGAAACTTGAGGTCAACGACGATCGATTCCGCAACGAGGCAGCAAAGGTTATCTATGCCGTAAGCTGCTTGGAAGGAATGGCCCTTGATCAGGTCATTCTACTCTTTAACGCTAACTCTCCTGCCGAATTCTCCTCCGTCACCGTTTTCGTCGTCTACCTATAAGTCTTGTTTGGAGCACCAGATATCCGGCGTACTGCGAGCCGCCAACTCTTCACCCTGAAGCAAGGCAAAGGTGACTTCGTCACCTATTACTTACTGTTCCTCCGTATCGTCGCCTACCTACACTACAACGAAGGAGCCAAGATAGACGGCTTGGCCGAAGGACTATCGGAAGATCTGAAGGATGTCATGCTATACCGGATGGACAGGCCTAATACTCTAGAGGCATAAGCGACTATGTTAATGACAATCGACTACCGGATTCGGAGCCGTAAGATCCAACAACGTGCCATCTGTGTCATTATGGGACAATTCACCGCCCCCACCGCTGTCGTACACCCATCTCATACCGCCGGAGGCCTCGCCCCAATGGACCTCTCCGCCCTCCAAACCTATCCCACTCAACGCTCTGCCACCGAACAACGATACACCTTTGTCAATGGACAATTCAAAACCTCCGCCGCGGAAAAACAATAGCAAATGGATAACAATCTCTGTATGTACTATGCCAACCCTGACCATCTCTTCGCCAACTGCCCCTCTGCCAATCGCCAATGTGGCAAGCAACCGGTCATGAGGGTTGGTCTCCTTGCACCAGCTCATACTGCCGCCGACCCTGCTGTCCTGCCGATCGCTAGTTCGGCCTGCTCCGAGTCGGGTTTCCAATAGTCCCGGACTTGATGAATGGCCTCTGACCGGGACCTCCTAATGTTTCTGCTTTGTCTGTGTTCTCTATCTGCGGCTTCTCGGTATCGTATGTGGAGGAAAAATTGCATGGGGATCATTTTGCTGCTGCTTGTAGAATTGTAAACAATAAAATATCCATTCAAACTCACACATTGATTGATACCGGTTGCTTCGGGCTTGCATTCATTGATGAAACATTCGCGTGCCATAAGAACCTCCGCTTTCTCCCCTCAAATCAACCCGCACTCTTGAAGTTATCGACGGTCGGCCCATATTCTCCAGATAGATCACCCCATATGCTACCTGCCAATGTCAATTGACTCCCACCACGAAACTATCCCCTTCTTCATTACCAAACTCGGCTCCTACCCACTCGTACTCGGGATCCTTTGTCTTCAACTACACGATGCCAAACTACAGTTTATAGACAATAGCATACTGTTCGACTCCAAATAGTGCAAGCGCAAGTGCAACTTCCCCGCGGGATTGGTTCCCATTAAAGGAATTCCACCACTGTTACGCTTCCAACTCGTCAGTTCAGCTGCCCTCTGCCGCTTTGCTGGAAGGGACAAAGTCCAAATCTTCAGCACAACTATACAGGAAATCGACCAAGTAATGGCCAAGGCCCTCAAGGAAGACTGGAGAGACCGAGTTCCAACCCGGTACAAGATGTTCGATGAGATGATGGACTAGAGGTTCGCTAATGAGATGCCACCATGCCGCCTCTATAACTACAAGATACCGCCCAAGGAAGGACAAGAACACCCGTTCGGGCCACTCTAGGATATGTTCCGCCAGGAACCTATCATGCTCAAGCAATGAATACAGGATAACCTGGAAAAAGGCTTCATACAGCCCAGCTTTTCCCCCACCGGTGCCTCCATCCTATTTATTAAAAAGACCGGTAGAACACGCTGTCTCTGCGTCGATTATCGTGGCCTCAATGAACTTACCGTAACAAACTGCTACCCACTGCCGCTTATCCGGGAAACTCTCGACCGCATTTCCAAAGCCACGTGATACACCAAACTCGACTTTCGCCAAGGGTAAAATAAGATCCGAATGGCTGAGGGTAAAGAATGGAAAACAGCCTTTCGTACACGTTACAGGCATTTCGAATACACAGTAATGCCTTCGGCCTTACCAATGAGCCAGCCACCTTCCAACACTTTATCAATGACAGCATCCTTGACTACCTTGACATGTTCTGTACAGCCTACCTTGACCATATTCTTTGCTATAGCGACACCCTCGAAGAATATCAGGTATACGTCGAAAAAATCTTGGAAGCGCTACAAAGAAATGGAGTACTACGGAAACGAGAGAAATGTGAGTTTCACACACAAAGTACTACCTACTATTGCTCATCATGGAACCCAATGGTATTAAAATGGATCCAAGGAAAGTGAATACAGTGAAGAATTGAACCGTTCCCAAAATAGTTAAGCATGTGCAAGCCTTCCTGGAGTTCCCCAAGTTTTACCGCTGATTCATATGTGGGTTCTCGGAACTGGCTTCTCCCTTACCAAACTGATACGCAAGGACATATCGTTCGGATGGACACCCAAAGCCCAAGCTGCCTTCAACGCCTTCAAGGGAGCCTTCACAACCGTCTCCATCTTTATCAATTTCGACCTCGAGAAGGAAATTACTGTAGACACCAATGTATCTGACTACGTCTCTGACGTGGACTCTCCCAATATGGAATGGTACTCTTTGACCCGTCTCATACTTCTCAAAAAAGTACTTTCCCGCCGAATACAACTACGAGATTTATGACAAAGTTTTACTGGCGATCATTCGATCATTTGAAGAATGGCGACTGGAGCTTAAGGGTCTGCACACCCAATCGCCGTCATATCCGATAATAAGAACCTCGAATACTTTATCAATTTTAAACAACTCAACCGGGGACAAGCACGCTGGGCGGAATACCTCTTACGGTTCAATTTTCTCATCAAGTACCGACTAGGGGAACAAGGAGGAAAACCAGATGCATTGACAAAGAGATCAGGAGATTTCCTTTGAGAGGGGGATAAAATGCAATTACACCAGAGTCAATTTATATTGAAAAAAGAGAATCTTGAAGCAAAGCTAAATTTGTTGGCGGGTTCTTTGTCAAATGAACCCGCTGAAAAGAACGCCTCACTGAGTACACTATTTGACGAAGGATATAATGCTGACCCACTCCAACAAAAGATACTGGACATGCGGAAAAAAAGTGAATGACAATCAAAGGACATATCACACGCCGAATGCACCGAGGTTGAATGCCGATTGCTCTACCGAGGTAGTATATATGTACCTTATCACGAACCTCTTAAACTCCGGATTCTCAAACTATACCACGACGCTGTCTCCGCCGGACACTCTGGGGGCGAAAAAACATTTGAACTCATCAGTCGACACTACTACTGGCCCCTTATGCGGAATTATATTGCCCGCTATGTTTGGAACTGCCACACCTGTCAACGAAGTAAACCCAACACTTATGGAAAACTCCGCGTACTTCGACCTTTACCAATCCCCGAACAACGATGGCAAGAGGTATCAATGGACTTCATTAATGGCCTACCGGAGAGCGAAGGTTACGACGCAATCATGGTAATTGTTGACCGATTAACAAAGAGGCGACATTTTCAACCCTCCAACACCACCGTCAACTCGAAGGACATTGCCGAGTTATAACTGCGAAATATATGGAAACTCTACGGGCTAGCCACATATGTCGCCTCCGAGCATGACACGCAATTGACAGCCAAATTCTGGAAGGCTCTCTGTAAATATATCGGCACCGAAGCAAGAATGTCCACCACCTTCCAACCGGAGAGCGACGCCCAAACTGAAAGACTGAACGCTGTAATGGAACAATATCTACGCGGATAGGTCTCTTATCAACAGGACGATTGGGTAAAATGGCTCCCTATGGCAGAATTCTCCGCCAACAATCAGGTTTCTGCATCCACCAAAGCCATACCATTCTTTGGGAACTGTGGCTTCCACCTCCGGTTGACAGTGACGATTAAACCGCTTGACAGGACCCCAACGAGCAACAATGCTAAGAACTTCACTTCGAAGATAAAAGAGCTCCACGAATACCTACCTTCCAATATCCGCACAGTACAAGATCAACAAGAGCAGGCCGTTCATACCAAACGAACGCCGGCTCCACGTTACGATATTGGCGACATGGTGTTTGTTTCAGCAAAAAACATCCGAACCACCCGTGACTCTCGAAAGTTAGACTGGAAGAAGCTGAGACCGTTCCCCATCAAGGAAATCATATCGTTATATGCATACTGAATCGACCTGCCTAGGAGCATGAAAATGCATCCCGTCTTCCATGTATCGCTGCTAGATCCCACTGCAAATGATCCCATCCCCGGGCAAATTCAACCAACACCCTCACCTATCATCATTGAACAGGACGAGGAGTACACAGTCGAAGAAATCCTGGACTCACGGGAAACAAAAAATAACAGCCTGCAATACTTTGTTAAATAGACAGGCTACACCTACTCCACCTGGGAACCCGCACCACACTACTACAATACCGCCGCTGTTGATATTTTCCACCCACGTTACCCCGACAAACCTGGACCGTTGGGAGAAAAAGTTAGGGTTAAGGCTCGCAGGAGTTCGCGCTTGAAGGGAGGGGCTACTTTCATAGATCGATTAGTTAATACACTGGGTTACGAGTAGTTGGATTAGTCGGAAAGTTCTATTGAGCTCTATCGGGTTCTGTTGATTTCAAAGGTATGAGTTTAGATTTGTTATCGCGGGGATTTCCTTGGGTATATTGGGAGGGTTCGTCCTCGCCTCTGTCCTCTTTCTCTTCTTTCTTTTGATATGCAACATCTTCTGTACCTACACTGTCGATTACTATATAATATCACTTCATATTCCTTTGTCATGAAGCCCACCATGCTGCTGCTTCCCTTATCCCGTTGACCCTTACTAACGCTAAAGTCCTTCAGAACACCTATCGCAGGTTCCCAGGCCAACCTCTACTGTCTCCTTCGTACTTTATGGAATCCTCGCTATTCGTCCCCTTGAGACAATACCACAGACTACTAATTAACGCTGAAATGAAAACCCAAAGAGATGCCCAATTTGAAGTCCAGATCGATACAATTTGATGTCCAAATTGATGAACAAGTTGATGCTGAAATAGACGACCAAAACTATTCCTAATTCAATATCGAATCAATAAATAAACAGACCAAATACAGGCAGTCTGGCTGGGAATCTCTCAAGGGGGTGGGTGGTGAGTATTCCGCAGGGTACGAAGAGTGTAATAGGGGGCGGTATGGGAACTCGCAATAGGGGTACTACGGGACTCTAGCGTTGGTAAGGTTCGACGGGACACGGAGGAAGCGAGGCGGCGGTCTTCTTTAAAGAAAGAAGAGAATGGTGATATTGTATAGCAGTAAACGGCGTAGATACAGAAGACGTTGCGTAAAGAAAGAAGAAGAAAAAGAACGAGAAGTACAAACAACCCCCTTTAATATACTCAACGAAATCCCAGCGATGACAAATCCAACATGACTCATACATTAACAATCAACAGAACCCGATAGAACCCAATAGAACCTTTCTGACTAAGCCAACTCTTCGTAACCCCGTTCCTCCACTAATCGATCCATGAAAGTAGCCCCTCCCTTCAAGCGCGAGCTCCTGCGAGCCTTAACCTTAATCTTGCCTTCCAACGGTCCAGGTTTGTCAGGGTAATGTGTATGGAAGATATCGACGGCGGCGGTATTGTCGTGGTATGTGACGGGTTCCCAGGTAGGGTCGGTATAGCCTGTCCATTTAACAAAATATTGCAGGCCAGTATTCCGTAATTCTTGCGAGTCCAAGACTTCCTCAACTGCATACTCCCCCTCCTGCTCAACGATAATATGTGGGGGTGGTGGTTGAATTTACCCCGGTACAGGATCGTTTGCAGTGGGGTCTAGCAATCATACATGGAAGACGGGGTGCATTTTCATACTCCTAGGCAGGTCAACTCGATACGCATATGGCGATATAATTTCTTTAATGGGGAACGGTCCCAGTTTCTTCCAGTCCAGCTTCCGGGAGTTACGCATGGTTCGGATGTTTTTTGCTGAAACAAACACCATATCGCCGATATCGTACCGTGGAGCCGGCGTTCATTTGGTGTTGACGGCCTGCTCTTACTGATCTTGCGCCGTGCGGATGTTGGAACGTAGGTACTCATGAAGTTCTTTCATCTTCGAGGTGAAGTCTTTAGCATTGAGACTCGGTGGGGTCCTGTCGAGCGATTTAATCGTCACTGTGAAACGGGGGTGGAATCCATAGTTCGCGAAGAGTGGTGTAGCTTTAGTGGATGCGGAGATCTGGTTGTTGGCGGAGAATTCTGCCATAGGAAGCCATTTTACCCAATCGTCCTGTTGGTAAGAAACATACCCACGTAGATATTGCTCCATCACAGCATTCAGCCTTCGGTTTGGCCGTCGGTCTCCGGGTGGAAGGCGGTAGACATCCTTGCTTCGATGTCGAGGTGTTTACAAAGAGCCTTCCAAAACTTGGCTGTAAATTGGGTATCACGGTGGGAGGTGACGTGTGTGGGTAGCCCGTGGAGCTTCCATATGTTTCGCAGGTATAGTTGGGCGACGTCTTCGGAGTTGATAGTTGTATTACAGGGGAGGAGATGTCGCATCTTCGTTAACCGGTCAACAACTACCATAATTGCATCGTACCCTTCACTCTCCGATAGTCCGGTAACGAAGTCCATTGATACCTCCTGCCATGGTTGTTCGGGAATCGGTAAAGGTCGAAGTACGCCGAGTTTTCCGTGGGTATTGGGCTTGCTTCGTTGACAGGTGTGGCAGTTCCGAACGTAGCGGGCAATATAATTCCGCATAAGGGGCCAGTAGTAGTCTCGACTGATGTGTTCGAATGTTTTTTCGCGTCCCGGATGTCCAGCAGAGGCAGCGTCATGATAAAGTTGGAGGATTCGGAGCTTAAGAGGGTTGTAATCGGGGACATATATGCTGCCTCGGTAAAGTAATCGGCCTTCAACCTCGGTGCATTCGGCGAGTGATATGTCCTTTGATTGTCGTTCATCTTTGTTCCGCATATCCAGTATCTTTTGTGGACATGGGTCAGCGCTATATCCTTCATCGAACAGTCCATGCAGTGAGGCCTTCTTTTCAGCGGGCTCGTTTGAGAAAGAACCCGCCAACAAACTTAGCTTTACATCAAGGTTCTCCTTCTTTAATACCACTTGACTCTGATGCAATTGTCTTTCATCCCCCTCTCCAGGGAGATCTCCTGATCTTCTTGTCAACGCGTCCGGTTTCCCTCCTTGTTTCCCTGGTCAGTACTTAATGACAAAATTAAACTGTGACAGATATTCTGCCCACCGTGCTTGTCTCCGGTTGAGTTGTTTGGTACTCATAAAGTATTCGAGATTTTTATGATCGGATATGACGGCGATTGGGTGTGCAGCTCCTTCAAGTTCCGGTCGCCATTCCTCAAAAGACCGAATAATTGCCAGTAGTTCCTTGTCGTAAATCTCGTAGTTGCATTCGGCGGGGGAGTGCTTTTTTGAGAAGTATGCGACAGGTCAAAGGGTAGAAGTGTCATTGTATTGGGAGAGTACGCCGGCAGAGACATAGTCAGATGCGTCAGTTTCCACGGTGATTTCTTTCTCGGGGTCAAAATGAGTAAGAATGGGAGCCGTGGTGAAGGCTTCTTTCAGGGCGTTGAAGGCGGTTTGGGCTTCGGGTGTCCATCCAAATGATATATCCTTACACGTCAGTCTGGTAAGGGGAGAAACCACTTCCGAGAATCCACGTATAAATCGGCGGTAAAAGTTAGCAAAACCTAGAAATGCTTGCACATCCTTAACTGTTTTGGTGACGGTCCAATTCTTCACTGTCTCCACTTTTCTCGGGTCCATTTTAATACCATTGGGTTCGATAATAAGGCCGAGATAAGTGGTGCTTTGTGTATGAAATTCGCATTTCTCCGTTTTCAACAGTACTCCATTTCTTCATAGGGCTTCCAGGACCTTTTCGACGTGTATTTGATGTTCCTCGAAGGTGTCGCTGTAAATAAGAATATCGTCGAGGTAGGCTGTGCAGAACATATCGAGGTAGTCGTGGACGCAATCATTAATGAAATGTTGAAAGGTGGCTGGTGCATTGGTAAGGCCGAAGGGCATCACCGTATATTCGAAATGCCCGTAACGCGTTCGGAAGGCTGTTTTCCATTCTTCACCCTCAGCCATTCGGATCTGGTTGTACCCTTGGCGAAGGTGAAGTTTGGTGTACCACTTGGCTTTGGAAAGGCGGTCGAGAGTTTCCCGGATGAGTGGCAGCGGGTAGCGGTTTTTGACAGTGAGTTCGTTGAGGCCACGATAATCGACACAGAGGCGGAGTGTTCCATCGCCCTTTTTAACAAATAGGACAGAGGCACCGGCAGGCGAAGAGCTGGCCTGAATGAAGCCCTTCTGGGGGTTGTCCTGTATGTATCGTTTAAGCACAATGAGTTCCTCACGGGACATACCATAAAGTGGTCCAAAAGGGGGCTCTTTCCCTTCCTTAAGCGGTATCTTATGATCGTAGGGGCGGCGAGGCAGCATCTCGTTAGCGAATTCTTCGTCCATCATTTCATAAAACCTCTTATATTGGGTTGGGACTCGGATTCTCCAGTCTTCCTTAGGGGCCTCGCCCATAGTTTGATCTATTTCCTCAATAGTTGTACTAAAGATTTGGAGTTTGTCCATTCGAGCAAAGCGACAAAGAGCAGCTGAACTGATGAAGTGGAAACGGGGCGGTGGTGCAACCCCTCTAATGGGAACGGGTATCGCGGAAGAGTTGCACTTGCGTCTGCAGTGTTCGGAGTCGAACAGTATACTGTTGACCTTAAACCGTAATGTGACGTCATGCAATTGGAGCCAGGGGATTCCGAAGAGGAGTGGGTATGAGCCGAGCTTGGTGACAAAGAAGGGGATAGTTTCATGGTGGGAGTCAATTGATAGCGGTAGGTAGCAGAGGTGGGTAATTTGTCCGGAAGATATGGGCCGTCCGTCGATGACTTCAAGAGTGCGGGGTGATTTAAGGGGGAGAAATGGGAAGTTGTTATGGCGCGTGAATGTTTCATCAATGAATGCGAATCCGGACCAACCGGTATCAATCAATGCGTGAGTTTGAATGGGTATTTTATTGTGTATAATTTTACAAGAAGCAAAAAAATGATCCCCATTCAATTAATCCTCCACAGACGATACCGAGAAGCCAGAGATAGAAAACGCAGACAAAGGAGAAACATTGGAAGGTCCCGGGCAGGGGCCATTAATCAAGCCCGGGACTACTGAAAACCTGACCCAGAGGAGGCGGGACTAGCGACCGGTGGAGCAGCGGGGTCGACGGCCGTATGGCTGGGTGCGAGGAGGGCGCCTCTCATAACCGGTTGGTTACCGCGCGGGCGATTGGCAGAGGGGCAGTTGGCAAAGACATGACCGGAGTTGGCGCAGTACATACAGAGATTGTTGTACCTTCGCCATTGTTTTTCGGCGGCAGAGGTTTTGCGTTGTCCATTGATAAAAGTGTATCGTTGTTCGATGGCAGGACGTTGAGTGGGGTGGCTTTGGAGAGCGGAGAGGTCCATTGGGGCGAGGCCTCCAGCGGTATGAGATGGGTGTGCGACAGCAGCGGGGGCGGTGAATTGTCCCATTGTATTCCGAATGGCCCGTTGTTCAGCTTTATGCCCCTGAACCTGGTTGTCAATTGTCATTAACATGGTGGCATATGCCTCTATGGTGTTAGGCCTATCTGCCTGGTATGTTATGGCGTCCTTCAGGTCTTCCGACGGTCCTTCGGTCAGGGCACCGATCTTGGCTCCTTCATTGTAGTCTAGGTAGGCCACAATATGGAGGAACTGCGAGTAATAGGTGGCGAAGTCCCCTTTCCCTTGCTTCAGGGCGACGAGTTGGCGACGGGCGGTATTCTGGGGATCTGGGTCTCCAAACGAGGCTTCCAGGTGGGCAACGAAGGCAGTGATGGACGAAAAGGGGGCAGCAGGGTTAGCGTTAATGAGTGGAACGACCTGGTCAAGGGCCCTTCCTTCCAAGTGACTGACGGCATAAATAACCTTTGCTGCCTCGTTTCGGAACCGATCGTGGTTGACTTCAAGTTTCATCCGAAGTTGGGTGATGAATCTGGGGAGCTTGGTGCGGGTGCCATCGAATTTTTCAGGGTCTGGAAACTTTTCAGACCTGAAGGTGGGGACAGGAGCAGGTGGGGGAGCAGCGGCAACGGGGACAGCGACGGTAGGGGCGGAGGAAGATAAGCGAGCGGTCCAATGCTCTCCTGAGCCATTAAAAAAAAAATTCAACCCCTCTCACACCCTCCTGACATATAGGGAGCCCTCTCATTCTCTCCTGAGCACCCAGCTGCTCTCCTGACATCCCAGGAGAACCTCGGAAAAGACTCTAACAAGGCGCAGTGGGATTTAGTAACCCAAACCCAAACACATAGTAATATATTAGCATACAAAATTTCTGATGGAGCGTAGAGACAATGTATTTATTTATCCATATCCACGAAAGGAATTCCTACCGTTTATTCCTCCTATGCCCTTGGTTAGGCTTCAGAAGGCATTGGTGTAATATCTACTGCCTCACTTAGCCCCTCTACCCTATCAACTAGCCATAGTGACACACCAATGTTGTCCACGTTGCTATGCTCGACCGTAGCTCTGTCTCCCTGAGCTTTGCGATGGGCTTTTGCAGCCCTCCACGCCATGATATCTACTGCCAATGCCTCATCATCTTCCTTCTGCCCCAGCTTCGATATCAACTCCCTGGGCCCTCGTACTTCCTCAAAATATATAGTAATGTTATTAGTACATTCAGCACCATGTCTAGTTACATAGCGATGTTGACCTTCTCTTCAATCGTTTCTCGTATCACTTCTAGAGTGCCCACTTAGGTCTGTACACTTCTCTGCTTCCATATATTCATCATCCTAGAATACGTTCCTTGACATTGACAAGTCAGCAGGAGCCTTTCACAGGGTTGGAGACGCCTTAAACATGATATCCATATTCTGCCTTGGGTTGAAGTGCACACCTTCTACGTAATCTCCAGTCGTCCAACATCAGAGAACAAACTAGATTCCGGTACAGACCAGGCATATGAATGCCGGAGAAATACCATCGACGAAATCAGGATCCTTTGCATCACGCATCTTGTCGCCTTTGTAATACTTCAGAAATATCACGTCCAGGATTTCTGGAGCCCAGAAGTATCAACGGCCTCCCTGAAGTCTGTTAGAGCCTTCTAAAATGCTAATCAAAGACAAGAAATGTTTACCGAATAGTTGTCAGGGTCATTGATGAGGCGGTCCTTTTCGAGTAGATAATTGACTTTGGTGGCCCATTTCTCAGCTGTAAGAAGCTCATTCATCCCATACAGGACGAACTTCGCTATATAGTCTTTGACAGCATAAATAAGGTGTGATCTCACTCGTGAAGATACGATTTGAACCTAGTCGTATAAGCAAGGGCTCCCTGAGCCTTATGGAAGGCTTTAAACCTATTCACACCTGTTCTATTACTTTTAGTCAGATTTAAAGTGGTATTAAAATGATCGCTTGCTTCTGCCTAAAATTTTCGAATATTAACCATAAGAGAGTCAGGTTGTGGCCAAGGTTCCTCAAGCAGTGTATAACACCGGAGAAGCTCTCCGATGTGTTTAATTATTAGCTTGTATTCTGGCAACTTGCTATACGACCTGCCAACTAACTCCGGCCCAGGTGTTCCATGCACGGATGGGAAACCATGATATTGGGTAGCCGGAGGGGTACGATATGACTGTGAAGCCGCTGGTGTACGATAAAGCTCATGCTCATGTCGTAAGGTGCTTAACGAACCAACCGAGGAATTTGGAGATGTAAAGATTGCTCTCTCGAAAGCTTGCCCGGCCCTCAGGGGGTGCTGTTGCATCGTCGGTTTGGGTGGATTAACTGCATCACGATTGCCATACTTGTACGATAAGTATAGACAAATCAAAGAGTATAGTGGGCACATACCTGCGTTATTTTCACCGGGACAGAGAAAGAAGCAATTGCTTCTTCTACTGGCCTACTTGATCTCTTACGGGAGGCCACAAGATCCCTAACGGAGGCTACAGGAGCCTCCACTGCTCTTTTTCTGAGCCGTGATCCCTATTTTGGGGGAGCCTGAAAATGTCTTCATTCTGGGGGAGTCTGAGATAGTATTCATCCTGAGGGGGGCATTTGTAATGACCGGTTAGATGGTGGTGGTAGTGGGGAGGGCCTACATTCAGAGAGGGGACTTGGTGTTAGTCGGGGTGGAGCTAGGATTGGTGGTGGAGGTGGGAGAATCTCATCTCCAGGTTCATCCTCATCATAGTCAACCACATAGTCATAGTCATCTTCATATATCTACAGGGCAGCGTCGTCCTCCTCTGAATGATCGTCAAGTCTGATCCACCCACGTGAGGAGTATTCCACCACTGCTTGGCCCTCAGGATAGCTATCAAAACTCTCTACAAAGCTCGGTGGGCCGTTATCAAAATCTGTGTCCACCTCTGTTGTCGATCCAGAAACTATAGAGTTTATAGAATCGAAAGAGCTGGCCGCACTGGAAACACTCATTGCACCCCGTAAGTGTTTATTAACAGAAGACGAAATTGAAGCACGCTGACTGGGTCTATCGGGAACTGAACGTTTCTGTTATTTTGGTCTGGGAGGCATGCTTGCCGTGCTGGTAGTGGAGCAGAATATGCATCCCGAAAATCTTGACAAAGGCCCTCGGGGCCTCTACTATATAATACCCGAAAAGCACCGGTAACTGCCTCGAGGAATCAACTCCGCTGTCAATAAAGGGTACTTTTAGTTTATTGCCGGCGGCTGTAAAAATATGGCATTGCGACATCGGTTATGTATGGTAATTACTCATGTATAAGGGATGACTTATAGTTGGAATAAGGAGGCTTAGCGCTAGGATTATGTAATCAGGGGATCACGTGGTACTAAGAACTATCTGTATATAAGGAGCAACAAACTCCCATAGTTGTCGCTGGAACTCAGCGGCGCAATAGTATCTTCTTTGCACTAAAAACATATTCCTCACAAAGGTCACGTGTTCAAACCCTCCTCAAGTCGTCTATTCTCCCACACTCCAACTCACAGGTTATGAGCCCGGGTTCTGCCAAATAGAATCCGCACTACACCATCGCCACCTCGCTTAACTCAACAATACTTCATACAACATCATGCCTTCAGAAGGAGAATCGTCATCCAAGGCTGCTGAGATCAAACCCTCAGAGACAACAGCTACCAGTAACATTCGTCTCAAGTTTGATGGACTCCCTAAACTACAAGGGCAATCCAACTACCAAACTTGGGCGAGTGCCTGGAGGATAACGTTCGACGCTGTAGACTGGTGGGAAGCGTTGAGCATCGAGAACCCTGACGAGAATGACACCGAACTCAGCAAAACCGAGATAAAGAAGGCTCGTAAACAAATGCACAGCCTTCTCATCTCCGCTGTATGCGAAGAAATACAACCAACAGTCGTCTCCGCCGAAAATGCATTCTACGCATGGAAGGCGCTCAAAGACCTCTACGATCGTGTCTCACCCAACACCACGATCACCCTCCTCAGCCGCGTCCTAGACACGAAGATGCAAGAAGGCGGATCACTGACCGAGCATCTCGCGACCTTCGATGCGAACTGGAATACTCTCAAGTCCAGATGCCAAAGCGCAGACCACAAACTCGCTCAGGCTCTCCTACCCCTCACCAAATCCAACGAAGCTATGGCGGCATTCCTCCTAAGCTCGCTACCCAAATCGATGAGCAACGTCGTCGACAACATCCAGACCAAACAGGATGTTACCTACGAAGACGTGCGCCAACGACTACAGAACCTGGATGAGGTAGCCCCTCAAACAGGGAACAAAGTGCTCCATACCAGGAGTACCACAAGCGACAAGGAATGCACCTGGTGCAAGAAAAGGGGACAGCCTTACAAAGGCCACGAGTACACGGAGTGCAGAAAGCTCAAGGAACAGAACAAGAACAGAAAGGGAAGGAGAAAGGACAACTCAGCATCGGTTGTAGTAAATGACTCTACAACCACTATCTGTATGGTACGCCACGACAACTCCCAACCCCTTACTTGGATCCTTGATTCTGGAGCAACCTCTCACGTCACACCCTTCCAAGACCAACTCATCAACATCCAACCTCACACCGGCAATGTCCGAACAGCTGATGGAACCAACCACGCTGTCACCGGAATGGGAAGCGCTAGTTTCAGCTGCAACCTTCCCGATGGAAGCAGATCTTCCATACTCCTCACCGATGTGCTGTTGGTCCCAACCTTGGGAAATGTGGGATTGGTCTCCGAAACCGTGCTCGACAAAAAGGGATTTAGAACGGAGTCAGGAGGAGGAAGCAAGTTGGTTACAAAAGAAAAGAAAGGAATAATTTGGGCAAAATTGGAAAAGGGACTTTGGAATGTACAAGTAGTTAGCAATACAGTTCGTTTGACCTCTTACGATGAATGGCATCAAGCGTTAGGCCACCCTGCGACACTAGAAAACTTGTATCACGACATTCAAAGGCTGCCTCCCAAACCAGAAAGTTTCCACTGCAGTCAATGTGCACTATCAAAAAGCGTACATAAGAAACCTGCACCAATTAGTACTAGATCCAAACGACCATTCGAACTAATCCACTCCGATCTATCTGGAAAGTTCAGTATACAGTCACAAGGAAAAGCTCAGTACTATATGTCCTTCATCGATGATTTCACCCGCTTCGCATGGATATACCTCCTGAAACAGAAAGAAGACGCAAAAAAGGCCATCAAGGACTACGTTACAAGGATCGAGAAACAGTATAGTACAACAATACTGAGATTCAGAACGGATGGTGGTGGTGAATACATCAACAAGGACATAACGAACTACTTCGATTCACAAGGAATAGTTCACGAACAGACTCCCCCATATACTCCTGAATCTAATGGAGTTGCAGAACGATTCAACAGGACGGTAACCACAATGGTCAGGTGCATGATCATGGACCACCCTAAATCGTTATGGGGAGAAGCATACGCAACAGCTGTCTATCTCAAAAACAGGTTACCTCATAGTACGCTTAAGGGAAAGACCCCCTTTGAAGCTCTAAAAGGAACCAAGCCAAGTATACAACACCTTCAACCATTCGGCAAAAAATGCTACGTCCACATCCCAGAAAACTCTAGGCCAGCAGGAAGCAAACTAGCACCCCGAGCGTATGAAGGAATCATAGTTGGATACTCAGACAGTGATAAAATATACCGTATCTGGATAGGAACACAATATAGGGTAATTGAAAGTCGGGACGTCACATTCCCCCCTCCTGAATCAGGGGAAGTCTCAGTGGAACTCGACTTCATCCCCAGCCTGAAACCAGAAACGGCAAATGCACCATCAGACGACGGATACGAATCAGAAGACAGGTCTGATCCAGAACCCGAGTCAAATGCAATCGAAGAGAACCGTACAGAAATGCCAGGATTGTTCCCGGAATCACCGGAACTAGTTAGAAAACTACCACCGGCTACACCAGACAAGGGAAAACAACCTGCCGTACCTATGGGACAACCGCGAGACCCAAGAAACAACTGGGAGAAAATTCCAGCACCAGTTGTACCATTCAAAGGCTTCAAAGGAAAACCACTTGTGTCAACGACACCCAAAGGTACACCACCACAACCTCCAAAACGA